AAAAAAAAAAAAACACCCACGACGCGGTGCCAAGTCTGGTCGGGGCCGTTTCGGCTCCGCTCGGGCACGTATTAGAAAGCTCTTCCGTTGTCGGAAACTGCCGAAGGCGCTGTATCGTCGATGGCTGCTGCGTCTTTCTCTCCGGAAATTGCCGAGTGGGATCGGATCGCCATTCTTGTCCGTTTCGGCAAATTCCGGAAATAGCCGAAGCGAATCGAATGGGCTTCCTTTCCTATTTCGGCTTTTTCCGGCGACTGTCGAAGTGGATAAGCTCGACGACGACAGCTCCTTCGGCTCATTCCGGAGACAGCCATTACTAACGGAGTTGATGACTTTTTATTACGTGATTAAAACACATAGGGGCGTTATACAGAACTGTTGCCCCTTTGGAGATATTTAAGCTCCAGATTCGAGCTTTTTGACTAAAACATCGGCAGCGAGTCTGGGCTGGAGAAGGAGGGCGCTAGCACTACGTGGAGCTGAATTTCAAATTACGTAACAGTTAAGGCAGCCATTACTGAGCAGTTGTGCGGTATTCTCAAGCAGGGATACGTAAACCATGAAGAATATGGTATGTGAAAAGGGAAAAATACAGATTCGGCTGTTAGGGAGGGTGGCGTGTCTGGTTGTGGAGATGGAGTGCTTTTTCAGGATCGGGGGGTTAGGAGCAGAGTCGTCCTCGGGCAGCGTAGGTCTGGGTGCTGCTGCCGACCCCCGTTAGCGGCGGCGCGGCTAGCGGCTAGGTGCCTCTCCGCAGAGGAAGCGTTAGCAGGGAGGAAGGTTCTGGAAGCGGCGGTTGGGGCTGGTGCGCACTCGAGAGGGGAGGCGGAAGCTGCGGTAGCTGTGCGTGCGGGTACGAATTCTTAAATCTCCCGACATGTCCTTTAGCTGAGCTGCCGTTAGGGTGGTGCTGCGGGGAAGGGAGAGGGGGACACACACCACTATGGAGGTCAGTTAATGCGCGATCCGGGACTCTACTTTGCCCTGCGGGACGCTGAGCGGCCGGGGTGGCGCTGCTGATAATGGCGGTAACGAGGGGGAGGGGTAAAATGGCGGCGCCGAGACTCGCTCGTGCGTGAGGCTTTCAGGATGAGACCTAGGAGGGGAAAGGGGGTAGGGAGGGAGAGCAGTAGAGGCTGAGAGCCAGGCTGCCGTTGTTATCTTTATGGGAACAGAAAGCAATCGCTTGCAAGCTCTCCCTGGTAAGGCGTGTGTAGCCGGACGCTAGAAGCGGTTTGCAGCGACTGATTTGTGTTTTTCCTGAAGGCCCGAGTGTAACTTAGCTTCTTTATTCTGGCGTCGGTTCTTTGTGAAGTTCTTTCCTTCCCGCCGCATCGCTTTCCCTGGAGGCAACGGTTGCTTCTGGGCGCCATTTTCCTCATCTAACTGCGGGGGCCCTTGTTTTCCTGATAGCCGCCACATGGCGGAGCCGGCATGGCAGCCGCTTCACTCCTGATAATACCGGGCTGCGGGGGAAGGGGGAGGACGTAGACTGATGGATCGGAAAGCCATGTAAGAGGTGTTAGGGGCTAACGGGGCGCGACTGCATAGCGAGTGGTTGGAAGTGTCTTTCTGGTTTGGGGCCAGTAAATCTGGGGAAGTGTAATCGCTTGGCAGTTTCCATTTTGGCGGGCAGTGCCAGCTCAGAGATTCCACTTACCTGTTTTGTTAACCGTTTTTGTTACTCGGATTCTTAACTCTGCAGAAGTCTGCAGTCAGCTTGGAGTATTTGTACCCATGCTGTTATGACACGAAACGCACTTACTTGGTCTGGTGATGGATTTTCCAGTGTAGGCTTCATGTTTTCCAGTCCTTTGAAGTGTTGCTTTTAGCCTGTGAAGGAAGGCTTAAAATAAGCCCTAAGGAAGATTTACAGATTTCCGAAAGATTTTCTCTCACAGTTTGTTACTGCGGTAGAATGTACTCTGGAAGTCTTTAAAGGAGTTTTTTTATTCTGTCTTTTATATTAGCTTGCTACCAAATGAGGGTTTTCATGAAGATTCTGAGTGGGACTGGAGGGATAATAGCTTATATCATATGTTTCACAGCTTCAACGTGAACCGTGTAAAAGATTATCAGAGCTCTCTGGATCTTGGTCGTAGGTTAATTCTAGATAGGAATTTGAGCCTCTTAAACAACATTTAATGCAAATAGACTATGTTCAGAGGCTCTGCCTGTATTAGTGGAACAGCATGTTTATGATGTTTTCACACAGTGGTTTTGATTCAAGAAGTGATAGGGTTTTTTTTATTGCTATGTCCTGACATGTATGCGGTGCCTAGATTTTGGTTTTGGGTAGGGCACATGCTGTATGACACTAATACACAGGAGATGATGAATGAGAATTCTTAAGAATGCAAGAGTGTTTCATTTTTCTGTTTTATGTTTTTTAGTAATGTATGATACATGTTTGTCCTTTAATAATCAAACCAACTTTTTATGGCTCGTAGCGTTCTTTGCTTGAGTTTCGTTTAAATTTCTGTCGCTGTTTTCACAGATAAACATTTATGAGAAATATCAGTATGCCTACTGAATTTGCCTGAATTTGCGTATTTCTGTCCTAGTTGCATTATTAGACATGTGGTAATTGATTATACAGGGAGAAGTGTTCTTTTCTGGTCGTGTGAAACTGTAGCAAGTACTTCAGCTCTACTGCTAGAAAATTAGAGACTAATGTGAAGAGAGAGGTTTTTTTGCAGTATCATTACTTTAAATGATTTCTTAGCTTACTTGGGTTCTTAAATAATAGTATGCATGCCTTGCCACATGTGACTTACCAAATGAGGTATGCACCACCCCTTATTCCATTTAAGAGCTCATAGGAAAGAAACGGTAACGTGGGTTTACCCCTTTTAAGTTATGTTGTGACAAATTTTGCCCATCTGCACAATGAGAAGGTAGCTTCCTTTGTGTTTCTTAGAAAATACTTGGAACCCGCTATAGGATCTAGCGTTTCTGAGTGACACTGAAATTGATTGTTCTCAAATGCAGCATTTATATCAAAATTGTTTTTATGATTGTTGACTTGTTTCTCAGACTGAATGCAGTATCTTCAGCTGGTGATAGTGATCTCTTTTTTTTTTTTTTTTAATCAAAACTGATTCAGTATTGCTTCTAATAATTGTCTTCCTTGTTAATTGATTCTAGATGCTATCTGCTCTGGACAAGCTCAGAAAGCATATTTTGGCCTGCAGGATGATTGGCTAACACTTTTCAAAGTATCTGCACTAGGCTTTTTTGTTTGTTTTCCAAATCTCATTATTTTTCATTGGTTTTCTAATATCCTTTTTGCATTTCTCCTATTGCACAGTGCATAATTAGTTATGGTGTGTTGCTTAGTTGTAGCGAATGGTGGCGTGCTGGAGGTGTTTAAAAAAAAAAAAAAAAAAGTGTTCCTGATTTTAAAATGACTTATCATTATAAGGGTGAAATAGTCATTGTATTCGAACTCTTATTTGGCAGGAGACCTGGCAGGACAGTTATATCTCTTTAGAGCAAGAGTCTGATGTCTTTTAAAGTTTGTGAAATAGGACTATTGTTTGTGTGCGGTTGTTTTTCTTTTTTTTTTTTTTTTTAAACCATTGCTGTTTGACGTAGAAAACTACAGAGTGCCTAATCTAGTGACACACTGTCATACAGAAAATGATCTTTTTGATGCCTTACTATATTTTCTTTTTTTTTTTTTTTTTTCAATTGATGGAGGTTGGGAGATTGTTTCTTTCTGCTTTGGTGTATACTGTATGCAAAATAATAGATGTAAAGCCTACTTTATTCTAGTTCCAATGGTGCCCGATCCCAGACCTAGATTAATTTTGCAAATACTCTAGTTTTATACATTTTAAAGAGTTAATAAAGGGAAAATGAATCAATGACCTGTTGTAAAAGGTCTAAAGCTATCTCTTTGTTTTTTAATGTCTTGGGAAAATAGTATGGTTGTATTCATGTGCAGCAAGTTGAGGCAGAACATTTTTTAAAAATATATGCTATCTGGAATAGAATCATACAGTATGAACGGGTTGGTGTTACCTGTAATGAGAACGTTTTGTTAGTTCGCAGCATTGTTTTTCCTGGCACAACCTGAAAAAGCTTCTGATAAGACCTTTGGGAGGATTCCTCTTCTGGGAGTATTTAAATGTAGTCTCTTTTTTAATGTTTGGAGGGAGAGATGGGAAAAGTACATTGTTAAAATCTATATCATAGAATTGCACAAGTTGCTTAATTTCTGGAATAGAAGTCAAACATTGTAGAACCGCCTAATCTTATCTTGAAAAATGCTTTCTACGGAAAGTTTTTAACTCTTAAGAAAATCTCACTGACTGTCTAATTGTGCAGTAGGGGAAATGCTGTAAATTGTATTAATGTAAACTTCTTTTCTGTGATAGAGGGAAAAGGAGCAGTTTCGCAAACTGTTCATTGGTGGCTTAAGCTTTGAAACAACAGAAGAAAGCTTGAGGAACTACTATGAACAATGGGGGAAGCTTACAGATTGTGTGGTAAGTTGGGCATACCAATTCATATAATGATGATATCATACGTTTAGAAAGGATTAAAAATAGATTTTTGTTTCCTGAACAGTTTTATGAAAGCATGAAATGTTAAGTTTTCTACAGTTTAGTTAGTGATTTTTATTTTTATTTTTTAATACGTTACTCGGTCCATCGAGGCTACCGGCAGACTTTCCCTTCTGAAAGTCTTTCCCTGATCTGCTAGTGGAGCTAGAAAATACAATCTATTTCCTTTAAAATCTCCTAGATTATCTTTAACTGACGATTTCAACAATTTAAGATTAACTTCATTGTCATTGCCTTAAAGTGCGTGGGGGAGGGAGTGCTTACACAAACTGCTATTCCGTTTGTTGTGTGTGATTGGTAATCTTTGGCCTAAAGGTGATACTGTGGTAAGCAGCCTTACTGAAGCTGGAAGGGGATGTCTTTCTACAAGTTGTGATGTCTTGCATTTCTGTTAACCTGTTTTGCAAAAGTTCTTCCGGTGAATTTGTTTTGGGAGTGATAAATGCATATTTTTTATAAGCTGTATTTAAAGGCAGTGACCTTTGGAGAGGTTGAAAGAAATTACATATTTGATTTTGAAAAACAACATAAGTATAAATTTACATCATTTCCATGGAATATTTGTTACTAGCGTTTCTGAGTTACTACTGGTAGTGTTGTGGAGAAGAGAGGTGGTTTGAATTTGTGTGATGACAAGCAATGCTTTTTCATATATGGTAATATTCATATACAGTCATGTTTTGAAGTCAAGAAAAAAGTAGTTTGAAGCTCTAAATTCTATAAATCCTGTTGTACCTATTTTCTTCAAGTGTTGTTAGTATTAAGTTTAAAATGATACATGTAGAAGTGGTTTAAACATTTTATTATTTTTAGGTAATGAGGGATCCTGCAAGCAAAAGATCAAGGGGGTTTGGTTTTGTAACATTCTCCTCCATGGCTGAAGTTGATGCAGCTATGGCTGCAAGGCCTCACACGATTGATGGAAGGGTGGTTGAGCCTAAGCGAGCTGTGGCTAGAGAGGTAGGTACAGCTTAGAAACAGCTTTGAAAAAACTTTCAGGCTTTGAAAAAGGAATCCGTGTTTTGGTCAGACATTTTTGCTTTGTTATTTGAAATTTTCTGTATTTAAATTGTCTTGTTAAGGCTGTAGTTGGGACACTGTTTCCCACACTTCGGGTCTGTTAATTGACACTTTTATAAGGCTCTTTGTTTATTACAGTGAATTCTTAATTATTCTGGTTGTGAATCATCTCTGTGAGGGATGCAACTGGGATCTGGAAGTATCATTAGCTAAAAGGTGTTGAATGCCTGTAATTATGCTAATTTCAGGCAGACTCTGCTATGGAAATAGACTCTTTACTGTTGCTAGACCTCAAATTAATAAGCTCTTGCCAATGCCTCCTGTTTCTATTCAAGGTCCCTTGGGTATTTCTAAGGTGTATATGACTACAGAGACTGAAAATAAAGAACCTAGTATGGAAACTGTCCTTTTTTCCAGTGGTACTATACAAAGTCAGCCTAGGGCTACTCAGGTGTTGGCTCCAGGGATATTTAATTTTTAAACTCCAGAATACAAATTATGTGGGAGCGCAGGATAGCGGTTCATCCTGTCCAGTAAACTTTCCAGCTGGATTACTGTGGGGCAGATATTCCGGGAGCAAGTGCAGATTCTAGCTGACTTCAACACATTGTTGGAGCTTTGGGAGAGTTTATGGCTTAAACATAAGGTTGGACTCAGGTTTTCAATGCGTTTTCAGTACAGTTCACTGCATTCCAGTTCAACTGGAATGTAATGAGCTCTCCTGTAAGACAGGGAAACTGACGATAGTAACCCCTCTGGATAACCCCAGAACACCCCAGCTTTCTTCATGTTGTTCATGAAGCATGGAAAATTGATTTGTATTTGGAAAAACATAATTAAAGCAGCATATACACATGCTGTTTTTACTTACGGAGCTATTACGAAACTTTAAGGATAAGCGATTCTTACTATTGCAGCAATTTGGATAGCATACTCAAAACAGCATTAAAAAAAAGAATGTGAGTAGTTGAGTTCTCATGTTTTGAATAGAGATTAAAATGTGTGGCTGTGGATTCACTGCAGTCGCAGGAATTTTGCTGTTGATTTAAGTGGAATGTGGGCTTCGCTGCTATTGGGGAAATGAACAGAGGAAGAGGGCATGTTTTTGTTTTAATTATAAAAATCATGCTTATTTAAAGTTACTAAATAGTTGAAGTTCTTTCAAGCAATTGATGCTATGTTTTTGTCTAAATCTGTTGGAGATTGTATTTAAAACTTTACTTTGAAAGGGAGGAGGAACAGGGTTCCTTCCTCCTGCCTTGCCCTCTCCCCACCCTGAAGAGATGTCTCAGAGACATGCATCATAAGACAGTTGCTTCAATATCTCAAAATCTTTTTGATTATGAGTATTACATCCCTGAAATCTTGGGAAAACACTGATTTATGAAATTGCTTGTCTTTGTGGTTATTCAGAGAAATTTTTTTTTTTTTTTGACAGGAATCTGGAAAACCTGGTGCTCACGTTACTGTGAAAAAATTATTTGTTGGTGGTATTAAAGAGGATACTGAAGAGCACCACCTTCGTGACTACTTTGAGGAATATGGGAAAATTGACACTATCGAAATTATTACTGACAGACAGTCTGGTAAAAAGAGAGGGTTTGGCTTTGTTACATTTGATGACCATGATCCTGTGGATAAAATTGTATGTAAGTAAGGTTCATTTCACTCTTCTTATCTGATAGTATTAATATTTATGGTCTCGATAATTGTATAAAGCTAAATTCAAACTACTGATGTAATAGGAGTGATCTTGTGCATGAGTATTTGCAACGTCACAGTCTTAGCAAATTGTGTAGGAACATGCAGTGGTGCCATTTTAAATGAGTACTGGGTTTGCCTAGGTTTTCTGGTTGGGGTTTTTCCCCTCCTCCCCCCTTCTTATTATTAAATAATATTAAATAAGTGTGGATTAAGTTGGAAATCACTTTATTTTTGTAAGCCTGATAATTTTGCTTGTTTGCAGATAAGTATCTAAATGCTCATACTTTATTCTCTGGTTACAGTGCAGAAGTATCACACCATCAACGGCCATAATGCAGAAGTAAGGAAAGCTCTCTCTAGACAGGAAATGCAAGAAGTTCAGAATTCTAGGAGTGGGAGAGGAGGTACGTACAAATATTGATTAATGCTTTGTGGTTTCTTTTCGTGTTCACTTTGCATCAACTCACTGCTTAAAATTTTAAACTGTTGTAGGGAACTTTGGTTTTGGTGATGCGCGTGGAGGTGGTGGCAACTTTGGTCCCGGACCTGGCAGCAATTTCAGAGGGGGAGCCGGTAAGACAGGCATGTTTGTAGCATTTCTTTTCTTATTTATACCATTTGTTTGATTTTTTGGGTAACTTTATAAGCTACTGCAATTTAATTTAAATACAGCTGTAGCGGTTGGAGGATTTTTTTAAGAAAAAATAACTAGCAAACCTTTTATGTAGTACACAAATTCATGATGTGGATATTTAGTAAACTGAAGGTTTTTTTTAAGGATTTCATTAAAAGCCAATAAAATAATTAAACTTCAGAATTTTGCTAAGGAATTCGGAGATTTTTCTTCTGTACTTGCATGTAATGTTCACATGACTTTTTAAATGGGGGGAGTTCTTGAATGCTTACATTACATGCAAGCTAGCAGCCATAATTCTGAATGCCGCTTCAGACTTCCTGTGACCAAAATTAAAACTTGGTACTTGATGAATGCAGGGAAATAAAAGATCTAGGGTAATGATTATATGGGCTATTTCACATACTTTTTTTTTTTTTTTCTCTAAATTCTAGTGTATGTGTAGTTAGTCAGTAATTTATTGATTCAATTAAGGTGGTACGGGTTGGAGAAAAATCTCTTCAGTTAGTTTGCTGCTGGTGAATTGAATTTTTTTTTTTTTTTTCCTCTAACAGATGGATATGGAAGCGGCCGTGGATTCGGTGATGGGTATAATGGATATGGTGGAGGACCTGGAGGTTAGTTGACATCTGTGTTTATTTTGTCCATTTAAAAAGGCTCTTCTATTCACCTACCACATACATAAAATACATTTAAGTGATAAAGCCTTTTTGTTGGCTCTAGGAAAAACATGTAGCTGTTTATTAACGTTGTAACTTCATAACTTCATATAGCAAATTGTGTAGTTGTATCTTGGATGACCATGCCCAGTTTTCTAGAAAAACATTTCCTAAATTTCCTGAAAAAGTAAGATTTTAATTGGGACTCTTTGCTGATGCATTTAGGCAGTCTGACTAGTGGGTTTTGGTAACAATTTAGTCAGTATGGAGGTTGAGTATGCGCCTTTAAAATTAGTATCTGTAGAAATTTCTTTATAAAACTCCCGCTCTTTTCTTTTGCTCTATATACTTCTGAACAGAGGTTTTCCTCTGATTCTGTAGAATTTGGTTGCTTTCTACCTTGAAAAGTTTATTGTAAAGGATTGTTTTGTAACAGGTGGCAACTTCGGAGGTAGTCCTGGTTATGGAGGAGGAAGAGGAGGATACGGTGGAGGAGGACCTGGATATGGCAACCAGGGTGGGGGCTATGGAGGTGGTTATGACAACTATGGAGGAGGTAATCTACTGGCCTGAAATGTTCAAGTATTTCAGTTGTTAATCAGTGCAAGTCATTTGAGAATGTTTTATTTGGGGGGGATGGGGGGTGTCTGAGCAGTGCTCTTAACTTTCCCAACGATATGGAAAAGTGGCTCATTTCTTAGGCTGCTGGAATACCTACGTGTTCTGTCTTTAGTGAGAAAACTCGGTGAGTGTTGTATATGTTTGAGCCCATCAGGCATTTCTCCTCTCTGTATTGATAATGCAGGCAATTACGGAAGTGGAAACTACAATGATTTTGGAAACTACAACCAACAACCCTCAAATTACGGTCCAATGAAGAGTGGAAATTTTGGTGGCAGCAGGAACATGGGGGGACCATATGGTGGAGGTATCGTATGCATCTGAACTGTCTTGGAACCAAACAGAGCGGGTGAACTTCTGTCCTTTGGGGTAGTGGGAGGGAAGGCTAATAGGCAGAACTTAATGAGGCAACCTCTCCTACAGCCCCTAGACTGATAATGCCCTTGCTCTTCATGGAGCATGTGGACTGGCTACAAGTTTTCATTGTCCTTTAGAATGTAAAGCTTATCTTGGGGTACTTTAGCTTTTTTGTGTCTGTATGAGACAAATTACAAAATACTAACCTATTTCTAGAACATGATGAAATATCTTGTAGATGCTGATCTGCAAAGATTTTAGAAAAGTTTCACGTTCTCTGCTGTTGGCTCACGTTGTTCGCAGCGATTGGGTTGGATGAGGGAAATCTAGTTAATGTCCCCTGAAGTTAGTGGTTTGTTCCCCCGTTTCCCTCCTGTTCAGTGTCACTTTTTGGTGTTGCTTTCTCCATTTGGTTGTCCAAGTGTTATTTAGTATGGTGTGTACAGCTTGTGAATGAGAAACTGAAACCAGAAGTCATTTTTTTGCGAGGGTTGAGCTTCAGATAAACTCATTCCTGCACAATCAGGCTCAAGAAAGTACAGGAGGTTTTAGCTTGATACATCAAATGATTTGTGGCGCTGTTTAAACGTCTGAGACTTCAGCATGAAGACGACACTGAAATGTTAAAATCTGAGTAGTATGTGTTATCTCTATAAGTAGTTGGGTGTTGTTTTTTTACGCAGCGAACAAGAGCCTTCCTGGATTTAAACATGTACTGATGGAAAATACTCAGTTTCTCATTGTTATTCTGTTGCAGGAAACTATGGTCCAGGGGGCAGTGGAGGAAGTGGTGGATATGGAGGGAGGAGCCGTTATTGAGCTTCTGCAAGCTTGCCATGGGTAAGTATGTTTATAAGTCCTAAAATTGCAGTGATTCTTGAGAGTAGCTGCAGGAGTTAAAAGCTTTTTAGGATCATGTTATCTTTCCTTTAAAAAATGGTTAGATGAATAATTTCATAACCTATTTTTTTACTCTTTACTTCTGTTGAAACAGGCTTCACTGTATAAATAGGAGAGGATGAGAGCCCAGAGGTAACAGAACAGCTTCAGGTTATCGAAATAACAATGTTAAGGAAACACTTATCTCAGTCATGCATAAATATGCAGTGATATGGCAGAAGACACCAGAGCAGATGCAGAGAGCCATTTTGTGAATGGATTTGGATTATTTAATAACATTACCTTACTGTGGAGGAAGGATTGTAAAAATGCCTTTGAGACAGTTTCTTAGCTTTTTAATTGTTGTTTCTTTCTAGTGGTCTTTGTAAGTGTAGAAGCATTCCTTTGATAATGTTAAATTTGTAAGTTTCAGGTGACATGTGAAACCTTTTTTAAGATTTTTCTCAAAGTTTTGAAAAGCTATTAGCCAGGATCATGGTGTAATAAGACATAACGTTTTCCTTTTAAAAATTTAAGTGCGTGTGTAGAGTTAAGAAGCTGTTGTACATTTATGATTTAATAAAATAATTCTAAAGGAAATATTGTGTAATTATAGATTTTTTTTTTAATACTGTAAAATAAGGCAAGGAGTGGGTAGTATAAGGTCCCACAAATAATATAAAGCTATTGTTGTACATGTAAAATTAAATGCTGGTCAGAATGAAGTATGTTGTTTGTAAATGATCAGGTTTAAAATATCTAGATAACTTAAGGGATATCTCTGCAAGGAGAAACACCTTTTTAGATCTTTTAGATGCTGCTTCTTCAATGGCAAGGAAAGGAAATATCCCCAGCGAGGTACTCTTCCAGGGACACAGGTCTAGTACAAGAGAACTCTTGAAAACGTCACTAAGTTCAGCCAGTCTTAAAAAGCTGCGCTGTATTTCTGCAAAGCTTTAACTACAGTAGTTTTATAAGGATGCCAACGAAGGCTGAGGGGTGTAGAGCAAAATAGTTCTAAGCTTCAGTTAAACTTCTTTAGGTAAGATCTTATTTACTTTTCCTTTCTTAATGTTCCAAAAACAAGAAACTAATACTATATTATATGACAGTATTCTTTCAGTATAGTGATTGTTGTATGTAGTTTAACATAGCAATGACTTGAGTTTAAAAATTACCAACTGAAGAGTACTTTGTGAATCCTGTTTTCTTGTATTATTAAATTTTTTACAAACAAATTTTTATTAATTTCAGCTCCTTAACATATTTTTTTCCTACTGGAATCTAGCTATGATATGAACCCTGGACAAGCATAGACTGCTGCCACTGTACACTGCTACAGTTGAACAAATGAGACCTGCAAGTGTCCATTAGTAAAGCTTTGCAAGGGTTCCATCCCTGGTGTTGGTAGTTAAAATGGTAGGTCACAAGTTAATTAAATCATACAACTTTATTTTTGCATCCTGCAACATTTTATTTTTTCTTGGGAGTCTATGCATTATGGTGGTTGCAAGGTAATGCAATGAAGGTAGTTCTGTGCTGTTGAAGATGAACGATGTTGTTATGTGTCTTGTCTACAGTAATCTATTTATATAACACGTTTCATCCTGAAGGTTCCCAAGTAACTTTAGACCTTTTTCATAAAAGGAAAAATTGCACCACTGAATACATCTGCCTCTGTGAAGGAATGTGTCGGCTATTCTTTAACAACTGCATAAGCAGTTCTTTAGGAGGGAAGGTGAAAACTTCAAATGAAACTGCAGGTGGTATTTTCATAAGTGTATAATGTAATTACCTAAATTGGAATTTGGCTAGAATGATGAGGTTTCCACCATTTTTTATAGTTCTTGCAGCTAATAAACCTTAGTGCCAAATTTAGTCAGCCTTACTCTCATTGCTTCGAATGTGTAATTCCTCAAATTAATGAAAATTCACCAAGTAATGATTTGCTCAGAGTAAGGATGGCTTAATACGCTAGATTTGGTTTTTTACTAAAAATCAACAAAACTCACCAAAAAAAACCCCAATTTCAAAGTTCTGTTGCCTTTGAAAGGCTACACACTAAAGAACATGGACTCGACTAATGAAGGTCCTGTTCTGTTTGTGTTAGACACACCGGTGAACTGCTTATACTTTTTTTTTTTAAATGGCTGAAGTTCCCCTATTGGTAATTTGGTTTAGACATATGTGATAAACATCTTCAGATACACTTTTTTTTTCTTTGGCAGGAAGGTGCCATGCTGCAGGTAACTAATGAAGAAGTGGTCAACCACAGAAACGCTTCAAGAAATAAGAAATTCTGTTTCATCAGAAAATAGTTGTTTTTGCTGGCTTCATTAAAAATCTAGAGGTTAAATGAATACTGATAAAACATCTCAATTAGTACAGCTCCCTGTAATGCTGGGTTTTTTTTTTTTTTTAAATGATAGTAATAATTGTCTTGTAAACCTTTCGAATAAAATTCAGACTGGTTAGGTGAAACAAATCACTAATGTTAAAATAGCAGACACTCTGTGAGTAGAAGGTATAACTACATATTTTTATAACTTTCATAGCTTTAAAATAAAGTATTTTTATACCAAAGTAGTTCTAGTGTAATGCTTAATAAAACTTAGTCTGTGTCTAACATTAAAATAATGTCGATGCGCAGCTTTTAGATGCATTCATGATACGGAACATTCCGTTTTTGAGGTGGATTTAAAATCCAGTTAACTTGATAAGTGTATTCACAGAGCTTGTATCTCTGATAAACGTAGGCATCTGTTCTCTTGCGGGAGAAACAGTACCACAACTTAAAAATGCTGATTTTGCTGTTGGACACAACTGCTTTAAAACAGCTTTTGGCTGTGTTTTATATCATTGTTTTAAAAATAATACCTCCTTTCCTGTTAATGAAACTAACAATTTCAGACAGTTCATCAGAATGCGTTAGGACAATAGCTTTATCCTCTCACCAATAAAGAGCTCTTAGAACTAAGAGGGAAAGATGGAATGCAGTGTGAACTCCCTGCTGTACCAGAACTATTACTAATAGCGGCCTCTTCTGAAAAAACACACGGAAGCTTGGGAGAGCTTCAGCTAGGAATGTATTTGGGAGAAAGGCCTGTTCAGTCTCTTGGTGTTTTAACCTGTTACCTACATACACGGTTTATTCTAAGCTTTGAATTTCTATGCTTAGCTTTGATAGACTAATGTCTTTAACCATCTTCGTACAATTCAAAAACATACAAGGATATAATGTTTGGGTTTTTTTTATGTTTCTAAGTTGAATTGCATAGGTAACAACTGAGCTGCAATGGAAGCAGAAAAATGAAGACACACAAAACCTGCTTTTATTTTACTCTTTCCAACAGAATTAATTTACCAGTTGCATAGGAACTTGCCTTCTTTCCTGGAATTCAATTTTAGTTAATGGAAGTTTTCCTTTACAGTTGCCAAGTCCACGTTCACATCACATAATTTAAGTGAAATCATACTTCAAAGGGGAAACATTCTTTTTTCCTGAGATTTTTACACACTTAGTAGTTTTACAATAAGGTTCCAAATTTATTTGAATTAGTTGTGTTATGTTTTCCACAAAA